ATTGGCTTCTTCTCCCCTCCTCCTATTTTAGGCACTGAGACACCTCAAACTGCACCCACAATGCGGAAACACTTGCGACGCAGGCCATTATAATTAAGAATACGTTCTAATTTTTGTCTATATTATTTTGCAAACTACTGTTAGTCTCAGGTAGTTAGACTAAATGATAAATGATTAATATGAGGCAAGTTTTTTGATTTAGATTACTAGCTAATACTAAGAGAAAGTATTACTCACTGGCTGCATAGCTTTACACCCCAGGAGTACCCTAGGAGTACAGTTTCTATGAGAAATTTACTATTGTGTAATCAATTCTCCATTTCTCATTTGTACGCAGGGTAAGAGAGGCAATGCAATAGCAGTCTCTTCAGTTGCCAAAAAATGATTTTTTTGCTGATTAAATTGAATTTTATCCCTTTATTTGCTGAGCATTTACAATTTTTTTCCAAACTTTCTTCTTCAGATGCTGCGAGAAATTGAAAATACCTTGTTGAGAATGTGTCATGATCGGACTGAACCAACAGATGAGGAATGTAACGAGGCAGTGGACACGGACTTCTTACCTGCGTACATACCTTTGAAGGGGGGAGGAGCCCGGGTTACCATGAGTAGCAGCATTTCTCTCTTATCCAGGTAGGATTCAGGGGAGGAAAAAAATGGAAATCCAGTTGCCCAGTGGGCCAGTACATTTTAGTTTTCAGTTGCCCCCACTAAAAATGAAATATTACTTCCCCAATAGGCATGCAAGGGACACAAGCAAAGTATAACTGGATCAGTTTTAAATTAATCCATGCTGCGTTGAACTCAGCGTCTTGCTCATCTTGCAGTCATGAGTTTTTACTGAGACTAATTTCACCTGCCCACTGGACCACTAAGCTTCCATTTTCACTTGCCCAAGAGCAAAATGTTTAAATATTAACTTTCCCTGGGCAATTGGACCTGGGTTTTTTTCCTGCCCTGGGATTGACGATTTCTTGGTCTTGGTCATCATGTTGTCATTTCTTGTAGAAAGTCTTTTCTAGTCCTTTTTAGGTTTAATGAGCCAGATGGCTTCTGAGTATTGAAGCTTAACTCCACAGCTGGCACTATTGCTACTACCTGCTCAAATGTGGGAAACATGGGTTATCCCGAGCAGGGAAGAATATTTAGTGCCGTCTTGCCCACTTGGGTAGCCAATCACAACACACCTGAGTTGATTCATCTTGTCCACTCAAGGAATTAGCTTTAGAGTAATAATTGGTACTGGCAAATTTATTGCTGGGGGTAACCTTACAATGAGCTGGCATCCCATCCAGGGGGGAGTTAGTCGGTTAGTTGCTTAATGCTGCAGAAACCAGAGTAAGCTCAGGTGGCTGGGACCCTCTGACCCTGAATGTTTATTAACTTCACAAGTTCACAATTATGATTAGTAAATAAAATTAAGTTCCTCCTGCATCATTGTGCTAGCAGTACAAAAATAGAGTTTTAAAGACAATATGATATTAAGTATAATGGGAAATCTAAAACCATCCAAAATATAATTGAATAACATTTAGGCAAAATGTTTCCACCACTTACCCCCTTTGTTTCCATTGTATGTCTTCAGATATTGTTCCAAGCTTCCAGGGGACCAGTTTACCCGTCCCAAACCTGTATACACAGTGGAGGAATGTGGAAAAGATTATTACACTTGCAAGCTACAATTGCCCATTAACTGCCAGCTACGTGAAACCATCTTGGTATGTTGTAAAGGTCTTTGTCTTTTTCTTTGCACCATGAAAGCAATTGAAAAAGGCACAGCTGTTTTCATTTTAACTTGCAATTTTATTGTGGATTCTGTTTTTTCACTAGCCTCCCTGGTAATCACATCTTGAAAAAAAATTGTTTTTTTTTAATTCTTAGTTGATAGACAATTTTTTCAGAGGATACCAAGTTTTTATGTCGTGAAAAATGGCTTAATTACTGCACGAGCAGGCTTTTAAAAAAGGGACATGACAAGAAAAGTTTCTCCCTCCTTCTACACCATCACATCGTGTTTTTTTTTTCTGTTTGCGACAATAAATACTTCTTGCGGGATAAATTGCTGGCTTTGCACTGTTCTCTTTTTCTGTTTCATTTGGAAAAGATGTGATTTGTTATGGAAGGCAGAGCTCAACATTTCGTTGTCCTCTAATTTGTTCCTTCTTTTTTTATGAGGGTGTCGATGAGGTTAACGTTTTAGCCTTTGATGATACGGTCGTTTTTTGCTATCGTAACTGCAGACAACAACAAAGTATGAACTGATTAACGTGTAAGAGATGATCAACTTTTTAGCGTATGAGGTACTTAACGGCCAAAGGGTGCTGACTTTCCAAGAGAACTAAATAACATTTCGCTCAAGAATTTATTTTCGGGATGACGTAGGTACTTTAAGCGCAACGTAGAGAGTGTGAAAGAGAAAGCTAGGGAGCTTGATGTAAATTGCTTACAGTCGAAATTGTTTTGCTTGGCGAGGTCGGCTAGCCACAGGAGCAAATTATTACAGAAATTGTTCGTAGTGTTCAGTGTGCTTGTTTGTTTATAAAATTAATGGTCATAATGATCTTGAAAATCGCGTGTAGGAGTCCACAGCGGACTGATACTGATTGTGCAACACGGAGAACAAAATTCGTTAGTTTAAAAACTGCCGGATTTTGTTTTTTTCAATCATGACTTATTTTACAAACGGAGGTCATCAACAGCTCATGAGAGTCATCAGATCTAACAAACTAACAGTTTACTGACTAAATGAATTATTTTTAGCTGTTTACTGACCAGAGCTATGCCCCATTGAAACCCTTTTGTATTGCCTCGTTGGCTGATGGACAGTATAGGCCTGTCTTCCCTAGCAAACTGACCTATCTTTTATGTCATGTGTGTGAGGACTTCTTTTTTCCTCTACCTTTGCAAGAAAATGAAACTGTAAGTTGTTAGCAAATCCTTGTAAAGTGGAACCCCGTTGACACGGTCACCAACGGACCATGAAAATTTGGCCGTACTAACAGGGTGGCGGTATTAACGGGGTAGGGCCAAATTTCATGACTGGTCTATATTTTAAGTGTCATCTTGATAGATATACATCACAATTGCACTTCTACAAAACTGTTTTTTTTTTCAAAATAAAATCGGAATGCAGATACAAGTTTTTAAAAAAATGAAACTTCAATTAGTACATACAATATTAACCACAGAAAGATGAACATAACTGTTTCGAGTGGCCGTATTAACAGGGTAAAATTATGAACGATTATACCGGTTGGGATTTTAGATTGTGGCCATTAAGCGTATCACAGGGCGGCCGTGTTAACAGGGTTTTCTTTTATAAGAAAATGCATGGGCGTTTCGCCATGCCTGGAAAAAGTGGCCCTAGTAACGAGGTGACCGTAAGGCGGGGTTGCACAATAACAGGAATGATCTTTACCCAACAGAGTCCACCAATGCCGAGGAAGAACCTTGCCAAGATGGCCGCAGCTCTTTATGCCTGCGAAGAGCTTCACAAGATGGGCGAATTGGACGATAACTTACTACCTGTGTGTTCATCATCAGACGAGGAAAGTGAGTCAGAGGAGGAAGAAAGTGAATCTGGAGGGAAAAAGAAAACTAAAGCAGGAACGAAGAAAAGACGGCGACGTTATGGGAGAAAGGTTAGGTGTTGAGCTTCAGGAGGCATCATTTCCGAATATGCCAGGAGTTTAAAATCTTGTTTTAGGTTTTGCTCATTTGGCTTGGTGTTACCGTTCCTTAGAAGAGGGGGCTCCCCTCTCGTTGATAGAATGTAAAGCCAAACGTTTTTGTGTTTTTCCGAAGCCTTTCCGAAGGCCGGCTAAACACCACCTTTTCCTTTAAGGTGGACTGAGAGAAAGGTCCTTAGTCTGAGTGTTTGGTTTTCGCAAACAGAAAAATGTTTCTCAAACGTTAATTTTGGTAAGGAAATAGAAAAATAAATCAGAAGCATTTTAGACAGACTTTCCACCATTCACTTTCATAAAAATGCTGAGAAACTTCACCCCCTCCTTTCCCCTACACTCCCTCCTAAGGAAAATATCTGACATTTTTCTTCTACCCAGATCCCTGAGGTATTCATCGGCAGCTTGGTGCAGAAGGGTCAGCCCCATTTCCTCACGGTGATCACCATACGCATCACCAATCTCACCAGGCCCCAGGAGCTGGTTGTCAGCGAAGCAATGTTCCGGGATCACACTTGTAGGTTCGGCATGCTGACAAATAAACGTCTTCCAACGGTTAGTACTGGACTGTCTTCTAGTTTCATATCAGTGAAACTGGCATTATAATCGTAAGAATTATTTGTTCCATTTAGAGCGGTTTTCATTTGAATGTCGAAAAGTAATTGGTTTTGTATCACCACGCTACACAATTGGCTTAAAAAAACTCGTGCCACCTTTTTAACCAATCAGAAGCAAACCCAAAACCAATCGTAACACGTTCGCACACGTTTTCCCGCGCTTCGCGTCCGCCACATGTAATTACTACGAGTTTTGATTGGTTCGGTGGATTTTCTGTGTCCTTTGTGATTGGCTGGAGTGATTACTTTGGTTTTATGATACTCAATTGAAGAGCGCTCAAAACGGCCAAAACTGCTGTCCTTTAAAGTAAGACACTTTGGCAAGTTACTTATCTTTTTTGCAAGTTACTTATCTTTTTGTAAAAATGTTACTTCATTTATTTGAATCTGCAGGTGCGACCATTCAAACTCTATCCTGATTATGGAGAAGTCACGGTATCGCTAAGCTGCGAACAATCTCCCACACCATTAGCCAAGAACAAGGTAGACTTTGCTACTGTGCGCAAGTTTCACTGCCACCTCTTCACCCAAGTTCTACGCGTTCCTGTCGAAATAAAACCTGAAAGCGCGGATGGTTATTTCATCGTGCTGGTGAAGGGAGAAGACGGAAGGAGAATTGACTTTGATCGCATGAGAGAAGAGCTTCAGAGGAATGTCGCCATTGAAGAAGACTTGGTGGTTAGAAAGAATTACGTCAAAGATCGGCAGCGATATGCTGTTTTAATGGTACGGTTTGACCTCAATCCATTGTCACCGTTCCCGGACAAGTCCAAAGGCACAACTTATGAGCAGTACTTCCGGCAAATGTATGGAGCATGCGTCACAAACATGGAACAGCCTCTCTTCGAAGCGAGAGAGATTTCTGGTCGAGTGAATTTCTTGGTGGACAGAAAACTAACAGGCAAAAGCAAACGCGATGTTATCCTTATTCCAGANCTGGTGAAGGGAGAAGACGGAAGGAGAATTGACTTTGATCGCATGAGAGAAGAGCTTCAGAGGAATGTAGCCATTGAAGAAGACGTGGTGGTTAGAAAGAATTACGTTAAAGATCGCCGACGATATGCTGTTTTAATGGTACGGTTTGACCTTAATCCATTGTCACCGTTCCCGGACAAGTCCAAAGGCACAACTTATGAGCAGTACTTCCGGCAAAAGTATGGAGCATGCGTCACAAACACGGAACAGCCTCTCTTCGAAGCGAGAGAGATTTCTGGTCGAGTGAATTTCTTGGTGAACAGAAAACCAACAGGCAAAAGCAAACGCGATGTTATTATCCTTATTCCAGAACTGTGTGACGTGTTACCAGTATGTTCCTCTCTTCTCTGCGCGGCTCAGATTCTGCCTTCAATTCTTCAGCGTGTTAGCTCGCTTCTACTCGTTGCTGATGTCAAAGCTATGGTTGCTGGTGAGCGGGACGACAAAGATGAATCAAATCTACCGTCAATCGGTGCTGATGATGCTAACGATGAAAAGAAATTACTTGGTACTGATCAACGCAGTGGAAGAGAAGACGAATTCATGGAAATTGAAGATGACGGCACAGACGAAGAGTTCCTGGGACTTTATTCCGATCTCAAGTCGATGTTTCGTGGAAGCCGTGAGTCTGATGATCACCCTAACTCTGCCCTCGTCCTTCAGGCTCTGACCACCACCCACAGCGGAGATGCGATTAACCTTGAGAGGCTTGAGATGCTCGGAGACGCATTTTTAAAGCTTGCCGTGTCGCTTCATCTCTTCTGCACCTACAAAGACAAAGACGAGGGAAAACTGACGCATCGAAAGAAAAACCAGATCAGTAATTTGGCCCTGTTTCGTGCGGCGGCCAAGAAATCCTTAGCTGAGTATCTTCAAAGCACACAGCTCGCCCGTGATGTGTGGTGCCCCACGGGATGTCAGTTCGGCTATATTCCACAGGACAGCGACACCACCACAGCAGATGCAGCAATGGAGGTCGACAACGAAACAACCGGAGCTGGAGAGGTGGAAATGGAAATTGATGACGTGCAAGAGCGGAGCGCTGCTTACAGAGCGAATAGAAGGACGTTGAGGTCGGAGGTCGGCAAGGAAGTCTCCCAGGCGTCAGACACCAAGCAGGTGAACCTTGGTGGCAATGGAGAGGAGAGAAAGTTAAATGCTACTGAGCGTGCTCGCCAGAAATGTAACACACAGACCATAGGAGACAAGTCTGTAGCAGACAGTGTTGAAGCCCTCATCGGAGCGTATCTGATATCTTGTGGTTATCTCGGTGCGCTTAAATTCATGAGCTTTCTCGGTCTTAAAGTTCTACCTGAAGGTGATGCCCATGACGATTCTGATCCGTTTGCAGAGAATACCAGCCCGGGTTGTTACGCCAGATTTTGGCCTGATCAGACAAATGCACCAAGACAACAGGATAGAGGAGACCTGATGTCTAGAATGATCGCTGGCTTGGAGAATTTTGAAAAAGACTCCATTAAGTACTCTTTCCACTCAAAACTACATTTGCTAGAGGCCCTAACACACGCTTCTTATCACCCAAATCGCATCACCACATCTTATCAGAGACTGGAGTTCCTTGGGGATGCTCTATTGGACTTCCTGGTCACGCAGCACTTGTACTTCCGTCACACCAAATTAACACCCGGTCAGCTGACGGACATTCGACAGGCCTTGGTGAATAACAACATCTTTGCAGCCATTGCTGTCAAGAACGACTACCACAAGTATCTCAAGCAGATGTCTCCGCAGTGGTTCAAAACTGTGGAGAATTTTATAAACAGACTGGACGATGAGGCTGAAGAGAAGAAAGAACAACATGGTCACTCTCATACGGTAGGAAGAAGTCAAAGGTGCTCAGTCTATTTTAGCCACGTACAAAACTAACTTTCAATTGAAAGAAAAATAGTAGTTAACTAAGATAGAAAAACGCCAAAGAGGTAATAACAAACCATAAAGAAACAAGGATGGTCAAGGATGGAGAAGATTAACACGGATTATAAAAAACGAACTTGAAAAATTTTAGCTAAACTTTTCAAGATGCGCGAACCGTGACGTAGTTCCTTTAATATCCGCCTTCCACGGTTGCCTTTTTTCATTTGCATTGCAATGTAATCCAGCGTGGATGCGAGGCAATTTAGGAAGAAAACTGCAAACTTGCCCAAAATTACCTCTCGTACATTTTGGATTATAATGTAATGCAAATGAGGAATGATAACCGTGAAAAGGGCATTGTGTTACTTCCGATTGTCGTTTCCTTTGTAGCTGTTATTCGAAGGACAGTGTTGCATGAAGACCCAAGCAATAGCTAGTGCGTAGCCTGTGTACATCTGGCTCCTCCCCTCAGAACAATTGGGGCGGATGTACGCAGGCTACTAGCGAGGAGACCATAGTTATTGTGACTTGCGTGACTTAGATACACGGAAATTCCCTGAATTGCGTGATTTAGACGCTCCCTTAAGAGTATTTATACCATGATGATTGGCTAAGATTACTCGGTCTCGCTTTCTGGTGAGTGCTTTATTTAAGCAACGCAAACGTTGGTATCGGTGAAAATAGGTCGTTTTGTTAATGGTATTGGGTATAGCTGTACCTTCTGTACCCTTCCCCCGCCACCCTAACAAAAAATCACAAGGAGAACGTCCCCCACCGGAAATAATGTACACTCTGTAACAATCATGTGTCCTTACTGTTGGCTACGCAGGTCACTACAGACCCATTTATATTTGTCTCACAAGAAGACGAGGAAGGAATTGAGGCGCCTAAAGTTCTGGGCGACATCTTTGAATCCGTGGCTGGTGCGGTGTTTTTGGACAGCGGCATGGATTTGACCAAGATCTGGGGCGTGTATTACCGCATGATGAAACCTTACATTGGTAAGTTCGCAAGGAAACATGGGTAACACGTGGCCATCATCATTTTTTTTGTACAGTTCACTCCATTTCGACGAAAGATTCATGCACTCGACCACTGTCGACAAAAAATTCACCCACGTTTACCGTGCCGAGAAAAAGCATGTTGCACGGAGAAGAAAATATAAGGCATACACACATCCTGAGAAAATAAATTTCCAAGTGCATGAAAGAGTTAAAAAAATCGTGCCTCTACCATATCACCCGTCCCCTCCCCCTCAAAAGTCAAATGGTCCACCCTTAAGAAACAGTTGACAGAAATTTATCACCTTATCTTAACGATTTGGTTACAACTGATGAATCATTTTATGGAGTTTTCACTTCAGTTATGTTCTTATGGAAGGCCAGGGTGATTTTTCCAAACAAATGTCTTTAATTTAAATCACAATGATTTCCAACTTTGCAGCCCTTGATCCAAAGTCCTGAAAGTTCTTGGAATAGCGCACTATTTCATTTGCTTTCAAGTGTTGCCATCCGAGTTTTTAAAAGAGAGTCAGACAACTAAAGACAATGGCCCACATATCTGGAATAGGGAACTCCGCCAAACCCTGGAGCCCGCGTACCTGGTGTGATTTTGCGCGCGAGTCCTTTTGTTTGTGAACGCGAGTGGCGAAGCTGCGAGGGGATTGGTGAGGAGTCGAGTTGAACTTCACTCGCGGCCTCTTCCCCGTAAGGGAATAAAATGGCAGCTCCACCGCCAAAACTCACTCGCTCGCGAATCTCGCCAGCTACGCAAGCTAATAACTTGAAGTAAACTGAATCTGATGTGTTATTGTTGTCCTTTCAGATCACTATTCAGTGAACATACCGCTCAATCCCATTAGGCGTGTTCATGAGGAAGATGAAAATGCTGATTTTGGGTACGTCTGCGACACTGTTCTGGAGTCATCGCTTTTGTTTTCATGTAGTGTTATTTTACCTTTATTAGCTGGATTCCATCATCGGCTGCGTGCAGTCTGTTTTATTCTGGAACTCAGGGAGGGAGTATGAGGCGAGGCATTTCAGACCAGAAGGGATTGGGGCGAGCAACTTAAAAATTTGATTTGGGACGGACCACTTTTTGAAGGGGTGGGTGGGGTGGGGGGAGGGAAGAGGTTGGGTAATTTTCTGGATATGAATTTATTTGCTCACCTTTAGATTGTGCATGATCTCTTTTTTGGTGGGCAGTAGCTTGTGGTTAGTAAAAAGCACTTACTCGATTTTTTCCAGACCTTTTTGCTGTGCAGGAACTTATTTTTTTTTGGAATTGCCGACCCCCTCCCCCTTCCCCCTCAAAGAAATAATGGTCCGTCCCTTATTCTTTGACAACTGCGACATCTTTTTTTAGAACACTTCGATGGCTTCCTTTTCAAATGACCAATCAAAATACGAAAACTAAGAGGGGAAAAGTTGTCAGACTCCACATTTGCGTTCTGGCAATTGAAGAATTGACATCTCTGCCTTCCACAGAGATTTCAATCGATTTTCTTTAAGCAATAGACCACAAGTTTTTATGGTTTATAGGCTGATAAACCACGCGGGATGTTGGACGAACACGAGAAGAATTCCTGAATCACGAGCCGCAGGCAAGTGATCTACGAATTCTTCGAGTGTTCTGCCCATATCCCAAGTGGTTTATCATGCCTCTAAACCATAGAAATTTGTGGTCTATTGCTTTTATATAATAATTCAGAAGACACGCGAAAAACCATGAGTTTACTGGCACAATAGACCATAGCTGATTGACCAATCAGAGCGCGTGCATTTATTTGATTATTATATAAAGTTTAATACGAAACCATCCGAATATTGTCAGGTAGATGTCAAAACGTTGTCAATATTAAATTCAAAACTTATCAGGTGGCAACCGTTTGTTTCCTGATTGTTCGGCTACAGATTAATTCTTACTTCTTCAGTTTGACATGTATTTTGTTTTTTATTCTTTCGTAGTAAAGCGGAGAAGCTTCCCGATGGAAAAATCTCTTGTACGCTGCGCGTGCACTGGGGACAGTTCGTGGGTAAGGGAGCCAACTTCAAAATAGCTAAAGCTACCGCTGCCAAGTTTGCAATGAAGGCGCTGCTCGAAGAGAGAGCTTAGTGG